GGGGGGGGGGGGGGGGGGGCAACCCAGCCAAAAACAGGCGGCGATTATTCCAGGCAGCCTGCACGTCTTCGGCTGCAACTCCAACGATCTCTTGTGCTCTCTCACGAGCGAGTGCCGCTGCAACTGCACCTGCTTGCGAGCGCAGCAGACATGCCTCCACAACTCGCGCGCACCTACAACCACGGCGGTGATGCCGGCCGTTGAGCACCAACGCGCTTACAACAGTTTTGTTCGAGCTTCGTCTGTCAACTGGTCGGTCGTACATGCTCTTTGTCTGTGTTGTTTGTCTGCCCGCGCCCCGTGTGTCTCCCACTGCTATCCCCCCTATCTACCACCACTGCACACTGCGTCACCTCTAAGTCCTTGGCGGCGCTCTCCCTCTCGAAGCGGGCCCTGTCCTCCGCCGCGAGCGATTCGAACTTGACGCGGTCGGCATCGTCGGAGCCCAGCTCCTTCCACCTCGAGCTGAGCTCCCTCATGACGTCACCGAAGTCGGCCGTCTGGCCCTTCGCCTGCACCGAAGCCGATCGAGATCGAACAATGCGCAGGGTTAAAAGGATTACATCGTGCCAGGTACGATTGGATTTCGTCGTTCGACGTGGAAAAGTTTGTCAGTATTTAGGTTGGCACCCACCAAGGATGACGCACGGGGAAGGGCGGGAGGGGGTCGGGGGAAGAGAGAGAGGAGCACAGAAATAGACAGTAGAAGAGAGGATGAGATGTACGGGCAGAGACACACGATAGAAAATCGAGTTAGCGGTGTTACTCCCAAACAAAACACAACATCGAGGTACCCGAAAATCCATGCCCTTCAACAGCAACTCCATCCTGTACTGCAACAGAAGTCGGAACAGAAAATCTGCTCAAACTGTCCAGTTCTCGCAAGGGCTCCGAGCATCAAGCAAAGCAACTGCCCACCTCCGACTACCAACTGCTGTACGCTGCCATAGAGGAATACGCTACAACATAATTATCCAGGACATTTTCAAGGACTTATTCTGCCGCGCAACGCCGGGGAACCCTCCCAAGGTTGATGATGACTCCACCACTCACCTCTAGGCTAGCTTTGACTTCCGCATGCTTCTCTTTCATGTACAGGTGATACGCCGACGTCGCTGCCTTGATCTCGCTCATGGTCAAAGGCGCCACGGACGACCCTTCGTTGCTCTAAATTTATAGAAAGGACTGAGCGCGTCGAGAGGGAGCAAGACAGACAGCACGGGGAACGTGGAGTTGGGCCGCACGTGTAGGAAAGGAAGCCATGAACGACTTGGTGGATGCACACACACAATTCTAACAAAATTAAACATTGGTGTTCAAGGTACAATAGGCGGGTTTTGTGTCACAAACACTTGCAGTGCTCAAATATACTGTTCCTCATGGGATCAAGCCTACTGGTATACTTTTAAGTATGTATATTGGGAAAGGAAAAAAAAAAAAGAGACTGGATCTCGGCTGGGTGAGGTCGCACCTCTCCTTGCGCTGCGACTATTGCAGGAGAGCGAACTTTGTGCGGAGTCTAGCCGACACGCTCTATGATTGCTATCTACCACCGCACCAGGTGGTAAACATGTCTGATCTTCACAGAGTATCCTCGCTGAGGGCATCACGCAGGTTTGCTTGCACCGGCTGTCTACAGCATACCACAAGCTTTACTACTGCTCTATCTACGTAGATACTCCAACAGAAAGTCCGACGTTTCTCCATGGGGCGGATACTGACTTACAATCGCATGTGGTGTGCTTCGCAATGCCCCGTTATGCCCCCAACGAGCTCTGCCGAGGAGGAATGGCTCGACAACACTCCCAACACTGCTGGTGCGTCGCGGAAGATCACACCGCTCCGTAGACCAGACTATCAAACGTGCTGACACCATTCGTAAAATGTTTTGAAAGCAAAGCGGGAGCCATGTTTTGAACGTCAGAGATATGGAGGTACGAGAGTTCAATCCGGCGCGTGAGAACATGGTGGACGCCAGGATGAAAATGCCGGTGGGCTGCCCTAATGCGGCATGAGGGTACCCCTCCTCACGCCAACTAGAGGAGAGAGGCAACGTTGAAACCTGTCGCGAGTACTAGCTAGCAAGTCCAACCTGTTCCGTGATCCCGTATGGTATGATATCATACGTATCGAGATCGCTGCTGCCGAGCGCCAAGGTTCCACGGTTCATCATGATACGTGCGGCATACCTCAGTCGTACCCAAGCACCACGAGGATCCAAGATGCTTAGCCACCTCCTCCTCCTCGGCTGCCAACCAGAAATTGCTTGCCGAACGCCCCCTTTGGCCTTCTGCTCACTGCTGTGTCCCAGTGTCCCGTGCTCCGCCGCGCGCGGGGTCTTCCCGATTGGGGGACTAGCCAGAGAGGGGTGTGGGGTGTGGGGTGTGGGGGGTTGCGGAGAACCACTACCATTTGAATGACCCCCGGCACAGAGCCACGCGACCACAGACGAGACGCTGGGCCCGACACACGCCAACAACGCGTCACCAACCCATCACATCACCTCTCGGATCTCTTGTACGAGGGGCGACCATGTCTGCAGTTGTGTACGAAGAAGTGGCGTTGGAGGAGATGGAGTACAACGACTCGGAGCAGATGTACTACTACGAGTGCCCCTGTGGCGACAAGTTCGAGATCTCCCTCGAGGATCTGTACGACGGAGAGGACATCGCGCCGTGTCCCAGCTGCACGCTGCAAATCAAGGTCCTCTTCGAAGAGGTCAGTATGTGTGTGCGGATGCTACATATATCTGCTGTTTTTGCTGCTGAGATGGGACACCAGCAGTACTTCAGCAAGTAGATGGTAATAGTAGAGCCCTGTCTTTTGTCAGCTTTAGCAGTGGCATCCTCACCGCCACCCCGTCTCTGCTGTGGCCCTCACATCTATGGATTCCGTCTGGTGTACAGGGATGATAGATACAGGTTTTGGTAGCAAAGTTTTTTTCCACGTGTTGTTCGCCTTTACTTGTGGCAACATGCTCCTAGCTGCTGTCGGGCCCGGCGTGCACTTGACAACCGTTGACGTCACACCCCCCCCGAGATACTCCGCATTTCTCTTCATCATTGGGAATGTGGAGCTAACAGACGTTACGTCCACGTACGGCAGTCAGACCTCTGCCCTACTTACACCAAAAACACAGGCCATCCAGATGAAGCATCAACACGTGTTCGCACGAACAACCGAACCAACCTCTACTGAAGCTACGCCACTGTTGCAGTCCCCAACCACAGGCCCAACGGATCGGTGGCAGTCGCACTCTTCTGATAGCTCCAAGCGTCTGTATGGCCTGACCCCGTCCCCCTCCACTTGTACCCTGTACCCGTTTCCTTGGTCGGGAACCACCAGAGCGAACTGCCGGAGCTGAGACCAGAGGAAGAAGAGGAAGAGCATAGGCACGACAGCCGAGGAGGCGAACCGGTTGTCGTGGCATCGACGCTCGTAGAGGCGCAGGCGTAGGAGTCCACCCGGCGTGCCGTCTTTCATTTCGGTTGGAGTGTCTCTTGCTGCTTTGGAATGGTTCTGCTCCACCGTGACCTTTTGTTGTTTTTTCTCTCCCTATAGTGAACCTAGCAAGGGTTTGTCGCTTTCGAATTCCACGGGGGTGCGGGCGACATCGATGGCGGCGTAGCAAATACCACCTCTGGAGTCTTTGCTTCGGCGCAGTGTAGGCGAGCCCGGAGAAGCCCCACGCCTCCCCGCACCGCTTGCGGCGTACCTCGTTGTTTCAGTTTGTAGATAGAAGTGATTGTTTGATTCGTACCGCTCTGCAGCTGCTTCCTCGCTGGCGCCAGGCTCACATGCTTACGAACGGCCCAATGTCCACGTCCCCTGCGCGTCATGTGTAATCTTGCCCTGAGCTTCTCCGCTGCCACCCCGTAGAAAACATCCACCAGCAGATATTGGTGATGGTAGGCAGTAACAGGGGGGAGGCGATGCTGGACGAGTCGCTGGCGTAGCATGCGACGACCGTCATTTTCGGCGTGTTGATGTGATGTACTGTGTTTGGGGGGTTATTTCTGGTGCAATCTCTTGTCATGTCTGTAGCTCCGCTGTGCGTGATTTCTTCGATGTTGTGCGTGGGCGAATACTACTGAGAGTTTATGACGACCTCTGTTTAAGTTATGCCAGATAGATGCGATTAGGGTGGCACTGATTCTACGTACTGCAGATCCGGCTGTGAAGCTAGTATCGATCGACATGGCGCAGATCAAACTGCGATGTATAGAAGCCAAAATCAAACCATTGGACTAATCAGCGTGATTTGACTAATCAGCGCTGGCTAGTCTAATGGTTTGATTTCGGCTTCTTATACGTTAGACATCGATTGGAAACCTGGGTCGTACTAGAGGCGTTTTTTTCCTCAGATCCTGGATAATCTTGGCCAGAGTATGGGGGGCGGAAAGACCCGTCTGAGACCCTGGAACTTTCCGCAGGATGTGGGCGACGAGCGGAGAAAATGAAGCAAAACAGACATTGGATGTTGCTGCCGGCGAGGGGAGTCACCTTCCTCGGAGTGAAAGTGCCCGGCCATTCAGACCCCACACCTAACTTCCATAGAAATGGAATCAAACCGAGTGAACGGTCCTGTAGGTTTTATCCACCCGACTTCAGCGTACGTTAAGCGCGATCCGGACGCACCGCGATTTTGCGCTGTGCGTAGTTTTGGTCCTGCGTCTCAACGACCAGTTCGTTATTCACACCAGTTAGAATCGTCCTTGTCCGCTTCCTACGGCAACCGCCATCGGTCAAACGTGCCACGAAAAATCCGGCAAAGACAGCGAGGGCGCCAAAACAACACGGTGCGAGACGGTGACGCCGTAGGCAAGCTCTCGTGCCATGCCATGATTTTTGGCGGGGATTGCCCAACCACTCACTCTCCTTCGAAAAATGAGGCCATGTCAGATCACACGGAGGAATTTCCTTCACCGTGCCAACTGTTTTCGTCTTCAGAATCCTATACGAAATTCTTTCATGCTGAAATGCCGGTCTGTCTGGAAAAACAAGTTCAAAACCACTGTCCCAGCACCAGGCGTTTGTACGAGGAGCAATGCAAGTGCCCCCCTCCATAATGCACAGAAGGAGCACCAGTCCACCTCCCCCTTGCAGCTCCACCCCTACGTCCTCCTGCAGCGGGCCCGGCCATCATCCCACCCTAGTTGCAATGTCTGTCGGCCTTCTTCGTAGCGCGCATGTCCAGCATCTCCTCCCGAGTCATAGCTTCATCCACGGTTGTTTCGATGATGCGGTAGTTTCCCGCCGGCGTTCGCTCCCGATACACCAGGCGCTTGCCGCCCGCACCCGCGTACGTCCCGAACGCGCTGTCTTCCTCCTGCTCCGAGAAATATGCATGCGCTCGTGTAAGTCAGGCGTGAGGAATATCAACGGCAAGGACAAGCATTGCTACCGTTCTGCCACTGCTGTGTCACCGCGAGTTCAAACGTAAGCGAGAAAAATCACGGGCTTCAGGATACCCAATCCGGTGGATGTCCCAGGCATCAGCAAGACTTCGAGAGTGTGGGGCCGCCCCGAGCAGGTTTTGGGTGCGACCGCGACACTTTCGAGTCTCCCTCCACCATGAGGAGACCGACACAACGACAGGTGGTGTTTTCTCATGCATATTGTCGTATAAGTTGCTTAGGAATGGCTGCCCCGCTCCTTCGTTCATTCCAAACTCTAACAGATGTAAGAATGTACTTTTGTCGCAATCGGTGTGCACGGTAAATTTGGCAAGGAACATGTAGGTACATCCTACCTTCGATGAGCAGCCCTCCAGTTGCATGTGTTTCAAACAGAATTGCGAAGAGCGGACGACTTGGGTTCCCCGGTCAGCAAGAAAACCCGGGCGTATAATACGCACGTGAATATGAAATTTGTGTCGCACCTGGACTTTCCGTTTTTTTCTTTCCTCCGCCTTGGTCTCGGCGCTGACCTCCAGCCGCGGCGCCTTGATGTAGCGGAAGTTTGTCGTGGAGATGAGGTCGGAGCTGAAAGGGCTGCTGATGGAGATCGACATGTTGCTAAGAACCATCTTAACGATGCGGGTTTCTTCGCGCAACCTGTCGTGTTTGAATGGGAAGCGGGAACCAAGACAGGAAAACGTGAATACGTTTACTACACGCAGGCACCACGTAGCCCGACACAAGCAACCAACCACGTACATTCACCCTATTTACAGCAGTAATATTTTTTTACCGCAGTAATATTATTTTTTGCTTAATAACGTAACGAAGCCATCTCCAATCAGATAAGAGTCCAGGATGAACCTCTGTAGCAATGGATTCATGGAGTTAGCGGAAGCACTACCGGTGTTTATACGATTCCCCGAGCAGCCCACGGAGATATTCCCCCTTGACTGCAGGCGACAGGACTGTCGTCTTCGAGCGCCTCGGAGTATTACTTACCGAGTACCCAGAGGGGGGTGAGGAAGGGATCGAAAGTTGAAATCTATCTAATCCGCCGTCGAAAAGGGAAGGGAAGCGGCGATGCCCGCTGCCATTGGTCCCGCCCCCACGACTTGGATGTCATCCCAAGCCAGGCAAGCAGACATCCACACTTTTGGACACACAACACAGAAACGCCGCCCCCCCTCCCTGCTTCTCTCACGTGGTGGGGTGTGTGATGAGAATAGCGTCGCCGGAGTGCAGCTCGTCCATGAACTTGGCTTCGTGTCCGTGCACCGCTGTACCGGAGGATGTGATCCGACCGGTTCCCGATACCGGCCTCATCTCCTCTTCCGCCTCCTCCTCATCCTGCTGTCCCCCAGCAGCAGCCCCACCTGCTGCGGCGGCTTCGCTGGTACTCGCCGCGGCTGCTTTCGCCTGCGCTCGCTCCCTCTTCCGTTTCAGCTTATCTTTCTTTTTTCCTCGGGAGGAGACAGCCACTTCTCCCCCCTTGAAGACCAATCTGCCCCCTTTCGGCATTGTTACTGACCCCTTCCTTCGGTTTACACCGCCGCCGCCCAGTTGGACGTCCCTCCGTGTACTCACTCTACTTTGCACAGGACACAGAAGATCCCGCCGCCCCGGTTGCTATGGTGTATCTGCTGCAATTATTGACGAGTTGTTAACAAAGTGATGGTAAACACCGTGGCAGATTCTCAACCACAAAAGTGCTAGAACTGCGCCTATCGTATACAGAGCGTGCGCAGAGAGGTAACCTTGCCCTAGCTCTGGTCCCTGGACTTGACGAAATGACGAAAGGAGAAAAGCTGACCGATACAACAGTAGTCTGTCCGCGGGGACGATATACTTCTGTCCCCGGGTTTGCCGAATTAATTCTGGTTCGCGAGCAAAAGTGACCGGGCAGACGCTGCAGAGGTCTGGGATCTGGGACGGAGAGCGACAGCAAGCTCACATGCACGCGCGATACACACCGCACAACTACAGCTGTGGAGTGTACACGTTGGTCTCTCATCACCATGAGTGCAACCCGTAATAGCGACGGAACATCCGGTAGAAAGAGACCTCTCGAGCCTCCTCGCGGCGACCAGGAAGCACCGCAGTCCTTATCTCGCCGCACACCCACCCGACAATTTAAATCACCACCCAGTGCCGGTGACCTTGGCAGAGACGACGGCAACTCCAAAAGCAATGACGGTCAGGACCAGTATGGAGAGGAATCCGATATCTTCGACGCGGCCGACCTGCCTAACGACACAATGGCGACCGTACTTTCTCTTCAAAGAGAGTTCTACGGGGGACAGCCTCGTACGGGGGGCGGCGAACGTACAGGAGTTGTTCTCCAGCACCAAATGTGAGCGGCCAGTTTCAGGAGTGGTCGCATGGTCGCACTGAACAAGGAGACAGCAGTTTAGCTCGTAGTTTTGATCGGAATGACTATATCTAGGGTGTCCATGCCTACGACCAGCATCGTTTGTCGTGTAGCTCCTCATCCAACTGGTTGGATGCTTCTCTGCTGCCGATACCTCTGTCCGGGGTGTGTGATGAAGTCCCATGTCGGTCTAGATGTAACTGCTGGATTCACCTTTCAGCCCTGGCCGTGGCACATCAATCAGCCCACATCTCACAAGCTGCTTAGCAATTTGACGGATAAATCTCGCTGTTCCTCGTCGCAGCTACACGGTGCTGGAGAACAGGACCGCCGTAGATGTCGAGCTTACAGGTATGCGAAAGGAGAACGTTCTCAGAACCTTCCGTCTTGGCACCGGCGGCGAGGACTGGGGGGTCATGAGCACAGCGCACTATCTCCGAGTGGTAAGCGCCGTCTCGCCTTGCAGCGGAGGGAATTAGTGGTTCACCTGTCTACAGGCGAGAGCTAGAGTTTTGCGGTGTGAAGCACAGACAACAGCAATATCATGCGGATGTGCTCCATGTCACAAGGTGTCGACGGTCGAGGCCTCTGTCCTCTGCGTCGCGTTCCCATCTCTCCATGATAATGGTTATTTCAAGGCGTTTTCGGATATTCAGCAATGATAAAAGCATATATACCAATGCCGGCGGTAAATATTTATTCTTTGTGGGTTGCGCAACGGCTCTCTCAACTACGCCTGAACACACATTCGACGCCAGATATCCAACTGCCTGGGCGACACAATCACGCGAGAGAATGGCTCCAAGCAGCCGGCAAGAACCACGGCAGCATCGGTACGAGGAGGTCACGCCATCGCACGGAGTAGTACCGGCACCGTTGGTGGCAGTAGAAACACCGCCAACGCAAGCACAAGCCGTGGGAGCGGTGGCAGCGGGGGCGGCAGCAGCAGCGGGCGTAGAAGCCCGACCAGCACCAGCTTCTCCGTGTGCGGCGCTTCGCCGAAACCTTCTGCCCAGGAGCACCATTCCTCTCTGGCGAGAAACGTGCTCGTGCGCCTGGTGCTCTCGAACACCAAAGCTTACGCCTCTCGAAAAGAGGTGCTGAACACCATGCGAGAGGTTCGGGAGAGCAATACCGAGGCAAGTGGTGGTGGTGCTTCTGCTGCTGCTCCTGGGGGGGCCGCTGTTTCGGGGGGAGTGGGTGGTCGGGGCAAGGGAAAGGAGGGAGCCCCCGACAGGAAAATTAGCGGGGACGAGGAGAAGGACTTGAGGAGTTTGAAGCAAACCGAGGAGGAAGTGGTCTCCCTCACCAGGTGATTCCAACTCCAGGAATGTGCACCAGCATGGCGTGTGGTCGATGTATATACGATGTGTGTGAATGGCAGCCTTTTTTGTTGGGTGGGGAAAATCATGATGACCTACAGAAAACACATCCCAGTGGGAACTTGTTGGCCGCTTTATTCTGGTTTGACTTTAGATGTTGCACCCCGTCCGAGTTAAGAGTGTCGTCCGTACTGCGAGTAGAGATACCTCTAACTAACAACACCTTTCACGGAGGGTAAATCGAATAGCGTCACGCTGACGAGGGTGGTATGAGCAGCCTTTCCGTGGACGTTATTCACTGGTATGCGGTAACCATCTTGTCTCACTCCCTTAGGGATGTAACAACCTTTTTGAACTACAATAGTATCCAGCAAAACTCGGTGCTCACAGGCTGCGCTTGTCTACATTGGGGGTCTACTACTTTACATCCGGTCAACTGAGGGCTTTTTGCATTACTGTAGGCGATCATCTACACACACGAAACAGTTTCTAGGTGCTGATGATAGGTACTTTTTCCGACACCACTTGTATCAGTAGAAAACCGGGATGGCTAGGTGCGCTTCTCTCTTCCCTCTGCTGCCCATATCGACGCGACGCACCTGCCTTCGTTTCTCCACGTGTGACAGCGTGCTTTTCTCCTACGCCTCTTGCTTTCGCGTCTCCCGCCAGCAAACTTATTCGGGCCGGGTTTCTCCTGCCGAGGCGAGACGTTGGTCGCGAAGAGGCCTACTGGTTTTCGATGCCACAGGTTAGCAACCTGTCGCTATCTCGGTGTCGTTGTCGATTATGGCAAAGCTGGATTCGTTGTTGTGTGTGTAGGAATGGGGGCTATAACGGACTGGTATAGAGGTTGAGAAATTGCTGGGTCAATTAGGGAGGATTCTTGATCCGGTTTGTACTGTTGGTTTCGAGGATAATGATGCCGTTTCGACGGAAACGGGTACATGGGGGGAGTATCACAAGCTGTACGAACCCACAGCTTGGTTGTTTTCTTCCAAATGTATCACTCGGTCTTGTCTACGCTGTCGCAAGGCGCTCGTGGTGATTGCACTCACTTTACAACCGCCATCCCCTCCTTGTTTTCTTGCTGCCGTACGTGTGCACCGTCATGGCAGCTTGGGAAGGTCATCACCTCCATCGCTCGGGGCCGCAAGGACGTGTTAGCCGCTCTCAAGCGCACGCGATATAAGGAAATGAGACGCGCCGCCTTAGAAAAGAAAAATCCCGCCAAGGCCACAGGTCTGCCGCTCAGCTTTCACGTCAGAGATCTGCTGGGGTTGGGCTTGATCCGCGAGCTGGACACGCCGTCCGGGATGTTTCTCAGGCTCCCGTCAGACTCGTCTTAGACCCGGTGGCGCGCGAGCTAGTTGTTACCCAATTTTTGGTGTGCATCTGGCAGAAAACTTGTCGACTGCCCAATCGCTGTTGAAACTAAATGTTCCCGAGAATGACGGTAAGACTTGCCGAACCCTTTTAACAGCCGATCTGATTCTTCGTAACGGGTGGGTATGAGTAGCCCGGCTGGAAGAGGATCCGGGCGAAGTTTTTGAGCAACATGTATTTTTTTTATGCACCAAACGCAACACCGCCACCGGGGAGGCTTCATGTCTCATGCGCCGAACTTCGCGGCGGCCAAGAGTGCCTACCTGTCGACTCGCTGCAAGCTGTTTCATGGCATCATTGTGTTGCGGCCCGTGGAACAATCCACTCGGGGCAAAAGTCGACATGCACTGCAGAAAAGGAAAACCTATTTTCCCTTCAATGCCGTTTGTCTTTTGCACACACACGACGGAAGGAGTCCCAGAGTACGCGCTTCAAAACCGGTCAACGCAACCAAGCTTGTTACTGCACCCAAAAACACGGTGGAACACCGTAGAAAGAGGCGAAGAGGTGGCACCCCGCCTAGCGCGACTTTCAAAGCTCGTTTGCTCCACAACCAAGTGGGTGCTGAAAGAACCCGATACATCTACGGAAAGCCCTCGATGATATGTTTCCAAATCCACTAGTCCAGTACTGGTGATAGCACAAGCTTGGACGTCGAGCATTGGAGCTGTGAAGATCGGGGTATGGGGGGTGCCATCTCTCCTCCTCTTGCGGCAGTAGAATCCTTTCTACCCAACGTCACCACATTTTACAACTCTACATGACCTCAGAAATAAGGACCCCCGCTTCATCGATACTCGCACCCGACCACCAAGAACAAATACGTGCGGTTCAGTACGTGGAGACCACCAAACGAAGGCAGTCTTGAATCGCCATGTAGCCCCCATCCCAGTCATCTCTTGTCCGCGCCAAACGGTGGTTGGTGTACACCTATCTTCCCGAACGTCCATTCGTCTTGAAACCGGTAACCACCCGACCAGCGCCATTCGTCAAGAGAATTTCCCGTTGTTACTCGAACGAAACACTAGCACCTTATTTCCTCGTTTTTATTAGCTTCGAGTATAGGGCAAGCAGAGAAAGCAGAAGGCAACAATCTTTGATGCACCCGTCCATTGGCTGGACGAAAATGTGGCGCCACCAACAGGAATCGATTAGAGCTATTACACGAAGTACTTACAATATATTCAACGGACATAATATTATAAAATGATTGGACTACTTAAGACGAAGCAAGTTCTCGACCTGGGCGGCTGGCTCACAGCAGTACAGCAGAGCTAATGGCCAATGAAGGTGCATCTGCAGGTGGAACGATTTGGCGTTGTCGTAGGGGGTGCGTACTCCCGAGGAACTGCACCCTCACAGCAAAAACGAAAAAACGCGAAAGCGCTCTAGGTAAACCCTTCGTTTTTCATGGCTGCAGACTTATAGAACGTCCTTGACTCATCTGAACATTTATCGCGTTGACAAAAGCAAAGCGCTCTGTCGGACTTGAAAGAGCTTTGAGAACATTTTAATTCACCAAAGTATCGACAGGAGAAAGACTCCCCAAAGAAGCGAACAACACAAACAACACCATACCACTCTTACTTGCTTCAGCAGGTAACACCAACAACACCGGGGACAACAGGACCGAATGCTCCCCAAACTCTACACAATCACGTACTGGTAAGTTGCTCTGTGCACCCGTGCGTGATGTGGCCG